ATTAGTCGAAACGCACAAGAGATGAATGCGATACAAAAATTATAAAATTGGCATTTTTGGATTGTTGTTTCAGACATATAAAAAATCCTTTCCAATTATTCTAATGTCTAGAATAGATTCATATTTGCAATTACATTATTTATAAACTTAGAAAATGAAGAAATAGCTTATGGAAAGACTAAAAATATGTTTTATGACCGCTGAATCGATATGGCTCCATCAAGGTTGGTTTAATATTATCCAAAATCAAAAAGAAAAAAAATTAATTCAAGTAAAATGCAGCTCAAAATCCCAGTTGATCTTATATTCATTCGACTGCTTAATGCATTCTAATTTCAAAACGAAATAAATGTTTACTTCCACCATTGTTGTTTTTTATCCCAGTTTTCCGGCCAATATTTTCTTAGGAAAATAAAGGAACAGCAGGTTTGTTCAAATGGAAAAGGGAATAAAAGAAAAGAAAGAGGTCATAAAGGTAAGTAAAAGATCATAGCACATAAAGAGTTTCCTTATCAACAGAGTATGAAACAAAAAGAACGATGATAGGGAAATTAGTTTGAGTAATTCACGGAATAACAAGAATACTTTATCAGTGATACGCGTACCGTAGTCGGTATGCGAACTACAAGCTGCTGATATTCCAACCATTAGGTTGGTGGTTTTTCAAGCATAGGTTGCTGGTAAGCCAACCAGAGGCCTCTGGTATTCCAACAATAGGTTGTTACTATTCCAAGAGACCACTGGTATTTCAAGAATAGGTTGCTGGTATTCCAAAAATGGGTCGCTGGTATTCAAACTATAGGTGTCTGGTATTCCAACAATAGACTACTGGTATTCGAATGATAGAAATTGCTATTCCAACAGGCTGCTAGTATTTCAACAACAGGTGGCTGGTATTCCAACAATAGGTTGCTGGTATTCCACAATAGGTTGCTGGTATTCCAACAATAGCTAGATGCCATTCTAAAAATGCGCTGCTGGTACAAAAAGCTGCTAGTATCTCAAAAATTGACCGCTGGTATTCCTATGATACGTTGCTGGTATGTGACTGTCAACGAATGTTAAAAGATGTTTCTTGAAACTAAAACAACTTTTGTTGATTTTAGTAAAAGCCGAATATCATGAAGACATTGACATTACTTTAAAATCTCTCTATCATTCCTTTCATTATATTTTTACGAGATTGGCTTCTCGGCTAGGCGAGTCATTCAGACATAATACGGAAATACAATAACAGATATCCCTTCTCATTTGCGACTGGCATTGTATTCAATGATACCAAGATTGGATGACCAAAAATTAGATTTACTTTCTATATTGCAGACATGCCTATGTTTATTATTGTTTAATATACTTTGTTCCTTATAATTCGTCATTTATTGACATGTTTTTAATATTTTTTATATTGTAAGGGCAGCCTTACCATTAACAAGAAAAGGAAACTGGAAATGAAAAACAAAAACTAGAGATAAAATCTGGTTGAAATAAAAGAATCTTTATTTCCCCGTGATTGATCGTTCCAGTGTGTCGTATATCAGTCATGGAAAACTAAATAAATATTTTTGAATGAAATCGAAAATGATTGATCTTGCTTTTTGCAGTTGAAATAACCTTAGTTTATTTCTTTTCTTTTTTTTAATTATTAAATACCATAAAAATTAGGTACAAGTTGAGAATCCATAATCGGAAATTCTTGGGCGGGAACTGCTTCAGTTTTCAGATTTTTCCGGATTTTCGAATACAGCTTAATTAATTTGTATATAGCATCTATAAAATGGGGCATCTTAAGAATGGAACCTAAGCATAAGCACGATTGTGGCACCATGCATCCAGGCAGAGAAAGAAAGGCAGAAAGGGAAAAGAAAGAAAAGAAGAAAGGAAGGCGAGATCCGAATCATAGGTGATAAGCGAACACACACACGGCTAAGAGGCAATAAAAAAAAGGGTTATTTTGATAAGTGGCAAATGGCGAAAGAGTGTCATTACAATGACAATGAGATTTGAGTGGGTAGGGAAGTGTTATCTAAGGATATGAAAACAAACTATTGGTACGGGAAGGCATCTTATTATCAACACAGACCACCGGCCAAGGGAAAAATTCAAGTGAAAATGTTATTTCGATAAGTGACGAAAAGAAACAGGCGACTAAAAAAGACTTTGGACAGATATGAAAATTAAAGGCCACCTACGAGTAATCGTTGACCGATTTTCCTACTTGGCCTGCGCGAATGGAATTGCGTTATCAAGAAACGTTCGCCAAAGAAAGTCCACTTGAAAACGTTAATTTTGATAATTGACAAAACACAGGTGTAGCTACAGAGCCTTAGTTAGATATGGAAAATTAAAATCCCACACAAGCAGTCTCGCTAACTAAATTCTTTTCGACAAAACAACTTTTGCCTGCGATAATAAATTTATGTTATCAGGAATATGTGCCGAAGGAAAATGGGTGGGGACCCAGGGGTGTTTTTCTTTCTTCCTTGGAGACGTCAGACTGACTGAAAACTTGGGGATAATTCTTTTTGAGGCCATGTTAAGAATACCAACTATCTTGATAAATTAGCCATAAAATACCTGACGTAAGCCACGTGTAGAACAAGAATTATGACCCCATTGTTCATATTTTCCCGTTGGTGGCCAGAGAAATGATACGGCGATTAAGGAAGAAAAGGAAAAGCTAATTTTTTTTTTTAGTTAAGCAAGATATTTTTTTTTTCCGAAACAAAGCCGCGGATTGTTCACGCCCGACTAAGACATCATTGGTCAAGTGGTGATCACGTGACGCACGAAGGAGGAGGAAAGATACCCGACCAAGACCTCATTGGCCGAGAGTGATCACGTGACGCACGAAGAAGGCTGTCGACGCCCCCATCCAGAGTGTAAGTATGAGAAGCTGCTACGAAGAAGTGGGGAGGGCAGTTCACGCCCTCAGAAGTATGGTGAGAAAGTGGGAGTGAAAAAAAAGTTACCAAAAATGGAAAAGAGTGGAAAATCCTAACCAGAAATAAAAAGAGGTGGATATCTATTTAGAATTATCGAGGAACTCCCCGACGCCAACAGACCCACCCCGGTTTTGGTCGGCGTCAATAAAAGCCAGGCCCCAACAGGCAGAAATCAGTTCGGGTCCTGGCGGCAGAGATGAGTGTTCAGAAAGTTCGGGCCCTGGCGGCAGAGATGAGTGTCCAGAAAGTTCGGGCCCTGGCGGCAGAGATGAGTGTCCAGAAAGTTCGGGCCCTGGCGGCAGAGATGAGTGTCCAGAGAGTTCGAGCTCCAGTTTCCAGAGTTGAAGCCGCCTCAAGATAGCTGACCAAGATTCACGCAAAATTCCGGACTCCTCTTCAACCAAGAACAATTATTTTGAAGAGCGACTTAGGACCAGACCACCGAAATAAGTTTTTTTCGACTTTCGTCCAAAGACACACCGAAACACAAATTTCTTAGAGAGCAAACAACTTGAAGCGTTAAAACTTGCCTAGCGAAAACGGCGTGTCACAATCCACAGAACGGGTCGGGGGATAGATGCAGTCCTATGTATTGAACAACTAGACATAAAGTTTGTTACCTTTTTCTTTGATACTTTGAACTTTTTGAGTTTTCATTTTATTTTCTTTTATGCATATTTGTGTGTTATCACCCCCGTTGAACTCAATTTGCATTACGGCCCCAACCACTGTTTGATCTCGTCTGTCTAAGATCAATTCACAACGTGGGTAGGCAGACTGGAGATCAGTGCAGTTACCTTGGTAACCAGGCGTTGGAAGCGAGTTGGGAACGACGAGACTGATATCAAATCTAACCAGATTCCCACCCGAATCACCAAAAGGTTAGAACGTCACATTTGGGTGCCGCGACCGATACCAAGCCATTTGGTCGTCACAGGACGAGACAACACGACTGACGCGACAGGCGGACGTCACGTTTGGAGCAGCGACACCCGGACGGAGCAGCGAGGAGCGAACAGCTGGCGCCGCGGCGAAGACGTCACAAGTGGTGCTGTTTGAGGACGTCACAACTGGCGCCGTGGTAGATCAGGATAGAACGTCACAGTTGGCGCTGCGACCGGGGGACGACGTCACACGATATCCCTTTACATTTCATAGAATAGCTTATACTAGTACCCTGAAGATAGTTTTATATAAATAACATGTACCCTGAAAGTAGTTTTATATAAATAAAATGTACAATGAAGGTAGTTTTATATAAATAACATGTACCCTGAAAGTAATTTTATATAAATAACGTGTACCCTGAAAGTAGTTTTATATTAAATAACATGTACCATGTAAGTAATTTTATATAAATAACATGTATCCTGAAAGTAGTTTTATATAAATAACATGTACCCTGAAGGTAGTTTTATATAAATATTATGTACCCTGAAAGTTGTTTTATATAAATAACATGTACCCTGAAAGTTGTTTTATATAAATAACATACAATGAAGGTAGTTTTATATACATAACATGTACCCTGAAAGTAGTTTTATATAAAAATTGATATTTTTTTGTATAAATACAGACGCAGGTAATGACACTAGTCTTGTAATGCTCACAACGATTTTTAACTGGTGAAATTAAGATTTAAACGTAAAAATAATGTACGTATGCAAAAACATGATCATTACTTACAAAAAAATATAAATATGCATGACTTTTTGACATTTTGAATAATATCTTTACTGAACACCAAACACCTGGTAAGTAATCCACGAACAAAGGTGTTACTGTGACGATCGCTAACAAAAAACTGGCGCCAACATTGGCTACGTAGCTGGGCTGAGGAACCCCGAGCCAGGGCAGTTTTGGTGAATTACAACAGCTGCACATCACCTAGGAACCGTCCAAGTGCTTTCTGAAATTTTCCATGTATGGCAAGTCATATCAGTACATGGAAAATTTTCGAATATTGGAGGTTTTCGGTTTTGGGAATTTCGGATAAAGGATACTCAACCTTTATTGTAATAACTACCTATATTATATTGACATACAGAGGCAATCGGCTTACGGCCATATCACATTGAAATACACGTTCTCGTAAGATCACTGAAGTTAAACAACATCGAACCTGGTCAATACCCAGATGGGTGACCGCTTGGAAATACCAGGTGCTGTAAGATAAAAAGTGAGGTGGTGTAATGGATTATGGCTCATAATTGGAAATCGGAGAACCGATTTCCAATTCCAGTTGGGTACGTTATATTTACTTTGGCGCAAATGCCCTTTAGAAAGGTATGATTCTGCCTCTTCTCTCCCCGGCTATGGGTTAATTAGTAGGACTCGTATCAATAAATCATTATTATCTCCAAAACATCTTTACAATCTAAAGATTTTTTAATCATTTCGCCCCAAGCAAGACGATAATGCTGCTAAGGTGCAAGGGTCTATTGGGAGTGAAAGGGAATGAAAAAAAAACATTAGAATGAACCGGAAACGGAATCCTAAACGGTGAACAAGGCTAAACCTCTACACCTGTTCAAAAAACCGGGGAGGAGTGTGAATGGAGCGATAGGCGAATCTATCTACTCCTATTATTTTCTGCCTTTAAATAACCTGTAAAATCTTGATATGACATCAAAAAACAAATCACTCAATCTAGAGATAACCACTTCCAAATGGTACGCTGTAACTAATTTTTTTAAATCTCATAATATGATAGTCGATATAAATTTTCGTTTACCACGGAGTATTTTGCATACGTTTAGATATTTTAATACTAGATTTAACCTAAAACAAGTCCCGAGAGCCACTCAAATTAGATGGTTACTGTTAAAATGGTAGTGATGAATAAAAGGTATGATGTGAATGAAAGAGATGATGGTAGGAAGTAAATATTATGAGGATAAGGGAGATAGATATCGATAGACGCTTCACTTGAAAAGTTAAGATTATAGTTTTCAGGAAAGTATCCACTCAGTTCCACTCAGAGAGATATGTGTGAGCGAGAGGTAAGAGACAGAATTAACTAAATGCCTGATAGGTATATATCTATAAGAAAATATATGCTTAACTGAGAGAGATTTTTATTTAGTTTTGCATTGACTCAATCTAAAAACAGCATGGAATGTATTACGAGGTTACTCCTCGGTTAATGATAATACGGTATCAGTATCGTTACTTTTACGGAAAGCCAGAGTTATGTTGGAAATTGACGGAGAAATCAATGCATTTCAGATATTTTACAACTGGACATAATCCTTCAAATGAAAATATATTTTTAAACAAATGATATAAATCAACAGATGAAAAACTGACCGTTTATTAGGGCGGCTAGCCAATCCCTATTGCAGACGCTTGCTCAGACACATTTGTGTTTATTAAACACCCACAGAACCCACCTGTGGTTTATACTGCGACTATGTTGAGCAGGCCTTAGTTACAGTTTCTGGGAGAGAGCGTGTTATCTAGCATGATCAACAACCTGAACAAAGGCCAGCACACTCAAAACCTCGGTCACGATGACTTGTGAATTCGTGCTAGCACAGTTATCGACGTCCCCATGTGCTCCGTCTATCCAATTTTACAGAAGGCTTGATATGGTTTTCAGGCGCTGGGATCGACCCCTCCAGACCAATAACACCAGGAACTGCTGATCTCATGATCAGAAAGTGTTGAAACTTGACTAATGCATGGAATAATAATGCAACGCAAAATGTACTTAGAACAACATGTATTGAAACAAGAAAAGGTACACAATATTTACATATAGTCTTTTGTATATTCCTGGTAAGACCGTTCCTGGAGAATGTGTTGACTGAGTCGCAGTCGGGCAGAGTCTCTGGTTGAATCTCTTGATTCCTGTATTTATCTATCCACCCACGAGGATAAAATATGGCACAAGGCCGGTTTAAAGTGGGTATCTCCGAGCCCGCAGGCTCGGCCAAAAATATGGCCTTTCTGAACCCGCCTAGACAGGTTCAAGGCCTGTCTACCACCCTGGACGAAACCCTGCCTCTCGGCAAAGCCTCGTCCGGGTCCCTCACTGCAAAATGCAGAGAGTTCGACTAAGAGTGAATCTCTTGATTCCTCCCTCTCTTCCCGGTACCAACCATATTTATATGGTCGGTAATCCACTATGCAAATTAGGTGGATCCTACCACAACAGAAAGCAAACATTCTAACCACTCGGCCCAATATATATATATATATATATATGTGTGTGTGTGTGTGTGTGTGTGTGTGTGTATAAAAATCAAAATGACGTGTGTTCATTTTTCCTTTTTTTGGTGTATACTGCAATCAAACAATGTAACTCAATGTGTACGCAAACGTGTGCAGTTAGAGACTAAATTTTAAAAACATATATATGCAAAGATCAAAAGAACTTTTTGTAGCTTTCAAAAGTCGCATAGTTGAAACCTATAATAATGGAGGTGACAAAAAGCTATCAAAATGATTTTCAATGCACTTCTCGACCGTGAAACAAATTATTTATAAATGAAAAGCCTTTGGTATGACGGCATCACAATCAAGAAGTGGCCGTCCGGGAAAAATAACTGCAAGGGCAAGTAAACATCTAGTTTAGCAAGCCCAGACAAATCCTGTTGCGTCCGTTGCAGATCTCCATTGCTTACTGGTCAATGTCGGGATAATTCTTACTGGTCAATGTCGGGATCAATGTGCACACATCTAGCATGTAACGAAATCTGAACAATGCCGATTTTCATGACGGAATTCCTAGAAAAAGCCACTGCTTATGAAATAGCACAAGCATGCTTACCTCTACTATGCCAAAGTTTATATTAATAAGCTAGAAACATTCTGGCAAAATGTTTTATGGTTGGATGAGACCAAACCAGAGCTTTTTAGGAAAACAATAGTTGGTATATCTGGTGAGCGCCTAATATGGCTTTTGATGAGAAGAATTTGATACCAAACATTAAATGTAAGGGTTCACAAAGTTTTGCACATCTTAATTTTTAATTTTTTAATTAATATTTTTATTCCAGCTTGATAAAAAAAAATTGAAAGTGGTTGTAATTGATTTAATAAAGTGTTTTCTTAATGAATATATAGTTTAATTAAGATTTGTTGATTATCTGGAAAACAGAGAAAATTATTTTAAATATTATCTTAGGGGTTCACTTACTTTTGCACTACACTGTATATATAATTTTGTTGATATATATTATTAATCTTCACACACACACACACATACATATATATATATATATATATATATATATATATTAAAAAATTAAAATCTTCAGACACACTGGGTTGTAGATTAATATTCTTTCGCTTTTTTTATTATTATTTCATTTAGATTCCTCGACAAGTTTCGGCCAAAATGGCCATCATCAGGAGAAGAAATATTTCTGCTTGCTGGTAGCAGTGAACTACAGAAATGAATATCTTGATGGAGAAAATGAACTTTTGTCTGTAGTTTTCATTTGTATTTTTATTTTTTTATTTTTTTAACGTGAATCTTTTAACATTCCTTGTGTTGTTCAAACAGTCACTTTTAAGTTGTTATTTGAGATAATAGCTGGATGGATCTATGCTGCTCTGAATTCCCCTGGTCAGTTTGACAGTTTTATTGTTCCTGGAGAGGGGATGTGTCTCTGTTAAGTGTTTGTGTGTGTGTTATTTGGTTCTTAGGGAGTGAGTGAGTATGATATGTGTAAGCGTGTATATTGCTGTGGATGTGTGTTATCATTTGGCTCATTATGTTCCTGTGGGTGGGTGTATAAGTGTGAGGCCTCAGCACCTCCGTAAGCATGTCTGTCTTGTGTAGGTGAGAAATGTGGGTAGGTTTTGATTTGTTGAGTTATATATTAGTACTATCTATATTGTTAAATTTATGGTTTAGCCCGGCTGGATAATGTGTTTTTAGACGTTGTATCCACTTATTTTCATGGAACTCTAAAATCTTTCTAATGTTATCTGCTCTGAATTTTTCTAGCGTGACCTTACGTCCATAGTCACTAGAATAGCATTCTCTGGAACTGTTTGTATGTGATTAATTTTGTTTAGTAGATCTGTTGTGTCTCTGATGTAGGATTTTACTTCCTTAGCTAGCGGTTGTATGTAATGGTCCACGTATTTGGAAATTTTTGTCGTGTGGCAGTTGAACGATGAAATGACCGGCCTTGCTGGGTTGTTGCTTTTGTGTATTTTAGGAAGGAGATAGAAACGAGCAGGTGTAATGCATGTGGGTGTAAGTGTTGTGCATGTTTCCTTGTCGATTAGATTGTTGCGAAGCATTATGTTTAGTGAGCTAATATTGTCACGTGGCAGCTTACGTGCTATTGTTTTCTATATGTCATTTTCTACGGCTAATTCAAATGTCTGTATAGTAATGTCTGTGTTTTGTGAGGTGTAGGTAGTATCCTTCTCTTTTAATGTATCAAGTATGGAAGGTGTGTGATCATTGTTCCCGTAGTGGGCTTTTAACCGTATTCTTCTGAAGAAGGATTTCAGGTCCTTTGCCAAGGTATCTTTATCAAACCTTGGGGGACTATGTCAAAAGCTCAGTCCGTTATTTAATACCCTGAATGTGTTGAGTGAAAATTTATTGTTACTTAAATTTATAACTCGCCCGTATGGGTCAAGTTTGAATTTGCAAGCATGGCGAAGTTCTTTCGGAAAAGCTCGAAAGCTTGCATCATATCTCCTATTAGGGATGCTATACCCCCATCCAGGTGTCCTGGTTGCGGGCTTATTCCGTTTTTTTTTTTGAAGGTTGAGTGTGTTTGCTGTTGATTGTCTACTAGGGACTAATCTAGGTGGTCTGGGATGTCTAATGGGGTTATGCGTTCTGTAGAAGGGCTGCTGAGTTTTGGTTTGTGTATGTTTGTACGGCACCCTAAGGATGTCCGCGTAAGTTAGTGGTTTGTTTTGTGTGTGTGTTTGTTTTGAGGTTCTAGCTATCGTTGATGGTGGCGGTGTTGTTATTGTTGGCTGTGGTGCTGGTGGTTGTCTGTTGGTGCATTTATTTGGTCTGTTTTGTGTTTTCATTGGTTGTGTGGTGGTCAGTGTAGTTGCGGTGTTTTGTTGTTTTCTTTTGGAGTATGGTCGTTCACTTTTTTTCAGAGTTTGGCTTCATTTCTCTTTTGTTCCTCTGTCTGGAGGAAATATTCCATTTTAATTTTCTTTGTTTTTCAATTTTTGTCTT